ATAATCCTAAATTTTCTTGTCCTGTTTTCTTGTCTGCTCCACATGCTGTTTGTGTATATTTCCTATTGGTTTCTTTTAGAAATTTGATTAGGTTTAAGCATACTGCTCTTGCTTGTACTGGGTCGTTTCTGCATGTAGTGTTATAGCTACATTCCCAGTTGTGTGCTGGTATTCTTTATCTATTGTTAAAATCGCTTGGAAAATAACAATTGAATATGTTTTGTTTTGCTTTGTATTTTCTGAATAGTATTGGTTCAAAGCATTCTATTGCAAGTTTGTCCATGAATTGTCTCATAAAAAATACATTAAATTGTCCTGTAGTGTTGTTTCTTATAGTTTCTGCATTTAAGTCTACTAAGGTCCAGCCTATATGTGGGTTTCCGTTAAAGTATCCTGTTTGTAATAGTTTCAGTGGTACTTTTGATTGTATTCGTTTTTCAAATTCTAAGCTCCATTCTAGCTAGTTTTCTCTGTTGCATTTCCAGTTTCCTATTATGATATTAAAGTCAAGTTTCGTAAGATCTATGAATTCGCAAGTTATTGCTACTGCCATGTTAGTGGTTTAATTTCTGAATATAAACAAAATTGAATGTAATCATTTTGGTGTAAGTTTGCTATTAGTAGTCTTCTATTAATTATTATAGGTTGATTTAATATGTGACCGTTTTTCAAGTAATCAAATATTTCTGTTCGTAGGTAATTCTTAGATTTTATTTTGCTAGTAAAGATTCTGTTTTTCTTTTCGAAGTGTTTATTATCGTGTTTCTCGATTATTTTATTAATCTTATTTCTGTCTGATATTGATGTCGTAGGAAATTCTGCTTCTTGTTTGCTTACGTATGATTTAAATAATGTATGATAAGCTTGTTTGGTTTCAAGTCTGTTTTCTGAAAAAGGGTATTTTTGTAGCCAAAGGTTTAGTTTAAATTCTTTAAGTTTGGTAACTCCTTGTTGTAGTTTTATATTTTGTTGGTTTTGTTGCATTTGACAATATATTTGGTATCTGTCAGTTTCTGTAGGTATTCTAGGTTTTGTTGATAAGCTTCTGCAATGT